ATACGCTAAAGCTAAACCTGAGCTTTAATGAAGATCTAAAATAGTAATAAACTGCTATCACATTTTATAACCTATGTGATTAAAATGATCAGCAAACAAAATGTAGAAGTAAAAATGAATTCCAGATATCAGAATGCATCTACATGCTTTTATAAGCTAGTAGAACTGCATGTTCACATGTGTTGATGCCTTGTTATGACAAGTCCTTCAACAAGTGTTGATAGGCTTTTTGATACACTTCCACTGACACTTCAACAGAAAACTAACCAAAAGGATCTTACCAAAGATATAACACGCATAAAAGAAGGGAAGATGAGGACCAGGGACAAACTTGCAATGTAGGCTGTCTTATCGCTCATGAAATGTTCACTTATTAAGCAATTGGGACATGTTTTCCACGTGTGTGTGATATCCATTTAGTCGTACCCAACTCTCAGCAATTCTATCGGGTAGCTCTCTGGGCACCATGTCTGATGCACACGAGGTAGGTCTCCAGGTATTTCCTTTAACCTTGCTCGTTTATATGGCCTTAGGATTGGCATGCAGATGTGATAACAAATGTTCATAGCCAATATACTCAGTAGCCTTTGGCGTGTGGGAGGAAAGCAGAGTATCAAGATGACACCCATGCAAACAAAGGAAGAACATGCAAACTCTATGCAGATAGTGTCCTGGCCAAGATACGAACCAAGGATCGCAGTGCTGCAAGACATAAGTGCTAATCCTCGTGCTAACAACAGAACATGTCCAAAGAAACAAACACAAATTCTAAATATCCCAACTAGCTGTACAATACAATGGGCTATTAAGGGTAATCATTTTTTTTTTATTTTTAGTATCTGAGTGTATAGAATTAATGATGGGAGAGTTTATATAGTAGACATTGCAAGGGTGTTGTTTTTTTGTGGTTGCTTATTTCTTAAAAAGGAGTTGGGTTGGTTTTTTTTTTGTATACATTTACATTTTGTTGGTTCTCTTTGTTTCTACATGAGCTCCTTTCTCTATACCCACTTTTCAAAAGCTAAGGGCTGCAAGCATGACCAGAGATCTTGTGGAGGTTGTTGCAGCTGGGAATGAATAAGCTGAATGTGGGGGCTAAGCCTGGAAGGTGTCTCTCAGAGCTGGTAGTTCTTGTACATACAGTAGTAAACTAGCCTACTTGGTCCAAGCCTACTTGGACTTTAGCTGTTAGACCTATCTCCCCGTAGGACTAATAGAGGTAGGGAGTTGTCATTTACTTTTTTACTGGTTGTGGGAAATGTTTAAAGTCTGATGTTATGCAGTGGTAGTTTGGATAATTCCCTCTACATTAAGGGTTTCTATATCATTAGATTACTCTTTCCGGATGTCATACTTTGGATATTATATTAGTCTTGGACTTTTAATTTTGGATGGAGCACATGTGTATATGGATCTGCGCCATCCAGGGTTAAGCAATTGATACATATATTTTTGTATTACTATTTCTGGACACCTTTTTTGTTTTATTCAATTTAATGTGTAAAATAATATATACAAATATATATATACACACACACACACACACACACATATATATTCATACATACACAATTTATTTTCTTTGTACAAACTATTATACACGTTATACATGTAATATAAATTGATTGTGATGTGGAGCCATCTAGTGTTCTATTTTTAAATTCTACACCATTGAAGCCTATTTACACGATAGATAGATAGATAGATAGATAGATAGATAGATAGATAGATAGATAGATAGATAGATAGATAGATAGATAGAATAGATAGGATAGATAATGTCTACCAGACAATAAGCATTTACAGAAGGAGGTTTGTACAGAGAGTATGAGACGTATGACCACATAGATCTGCTCCAGCGTAGTGCCACAAGATAGAGAGAAAGATAGATATTTTCCATCAAATTTGTCACACATCACTTGTAATAATAAAAAATAAAATAGTCATACATACATACATACATACACATATATATATATACACACACACACACACACACACATATATATTCATACATACACAATTTATTTTCTTTGTACAAACTATTATACACGTTATACATGTAATATAAATTGATTGTGATGTGGAGCCATCTAGTGTTCTATTTTTAAATTCTACACCATTGAAGCCTATTTACACGATAGATAGATAGATAGATAGATAGATAGATAGATAGATAGATAGATAGATAGATAGATAGATAGATAGATAGAATAGATAGGATAGATAATGTCTACCAGACAATAAGCATTTACAGAAGGAGGTTTGTACAGAGAGTATGAGACGTATGACCACATAGATCTGCTCCAGCGTAGTGCCACAAGATAGAGAGAAAGATAGATATTTTCCATCAAATTTGTCACACATCACTTGTAATAATAAAAAATAAACACAACATTTGTTTAAGCCTCATTAAAGGGAAATTCCATTTTTTTGCAAAAATAATAAGCGAACACTAGAATAAAAAATGTGCATTCATTATTTTTTGGCATACAAGCCAGTAAAGCATTGCAACCACAATATGTAAATCACGGGTGCAATGCTCTGACATCTGCAGACTGTTCCTCCCGTCCATGTCTGTACCGAGGTATGGACATGCTGCAACATGGATGGGAGAAATCGTTAAAGTGTCTGTAAATGGATCATGTGTGAGTGGAGTAACAGACAGCAATACCAAAATCAAAATGGGAAACAAGCCTATAAGGTGAAAAACCCTGCAATTCAGGTATGTGGGGGGCGTGATGGGGGTCTGCGATCTGACCATGTTTCATTTTACACCCTCAATAGGATGTTTTAATTTGTATGTTTTAAAATTATTTAAAATTAATAAAGATTATTGGAAATGAGAGTAACATGAAACATTGTCAAAAAGGTAAACGTAACCTTTAATCTACAATCATTAGATATGTATTCCTGAGAAAAACATAAAAACCATTTACACATATTTATATTTTTAAAATGTAATTTAAAGTTAAACATTGCTTAGGTAGCAGTGTAACGCAATAAAACCAGAAGACAATACATATGAATAAATGTTGGCTTTCATCTACTATACATACCGGTTTAACATTAATGACCAAGGTTATGCCATGTTCTAAGAGCATATCTTGAGCTATTCTAGACACCGTCCTCTCCACCAGAACTAGAGTTGGCCGTACATCAACAATTCTCTGGACATAATTCCTTAAAAATTCTCTTTCCTGGAGATCAAATAAAAATTGTTGTTTTATACTAGGCATGAATCACGTTAAGCAGAACAAAACAAAACAAAAAAATTATAGGATTGGTGCAGCCAACTGAGAAAATGTTTCAGGTTTCTGAAGCACCTTATACGGATTGGTACTTCATACAAAAAGGAAAAAAGGGACAAGAAACAGCCTACTGCCTCTATAACCGAGGAGCCACCCGCCTCTGCACATTACTGGGAGGTCAGCACAGCGCTTTCCATTACAGGCTCTATCAAATCTTAGTAAAATACAAACAGTTCTGTCTAATTTATCAAAGATCAGAGATGCTTTCAATACTTTACAACAATGTATAAGCTCTCAGGATATACATAGTGAGACAGTATAACCATACAGGTTAAGGTGAGATGGGACCAGCTGAATCAGTGTGTAGCACAGTAAAGGCTGCTCAGAAAAGAAGGTATTCACATGTCTCATTCCATTATATATCTCAAAAATAAGACAATTATTTCTAATTTCAGGATAGTGGGTTGAGTCAGGCAAACATCCCTTTCTGCCCCATCAGCCAGGTGTACATTCAGAACCGATGGTGTATAGTGTGATAAGATTTGTGAGGCCTACAAGCACTGTGGATAGTAAAAGCATCATTGGCAAACTAGGACTAATGAGATAAGAGGATTATTCCTAATTTCATGTCAGTGGGCAGAGACATGTAAATCAATCTTTATGCCCCATCAGCCAGGTGTACATCTGTACATCTGGAACCGTTAGTGTATAGCACAAATAAATACATTATAGAACCATTTATTCCATACAGTATATGATGATAATATTTGTGAGGCTACAAAGACAGTAGATAGCAATAGTACTGTTCACAAACTAGGGGTAATACTAGTACAATAATCTGCACATCACCTGCATCCAGAGCCAACAAAAGAGGGGTACAACCAGCCCTTCCTTCTCACCGCCTAGCCTAGCTCTGAGCAACCAGGACACTGTGGCCGGTGTTCCACCCGGTTCTTAGCAGCCAGTGATGTCGCTGGTTGTCAGGAGCTGACTGGGACCCTGGCCAGAGTGTCCCAGGTTGCCAAGAGCCAAGCAAGGAGATGTGTATTGGTTTATCCACACTAGAAGCCGTGCTAAACTGCATGATACTGTTTCTTATTTTTGCTTACATTGACATTAATTTAGTGACATTTCATTGAGTTCAATGGGCAAACCCGGTTGTACCAAGCCTCACTGCGGTGCAAATAAAAAAAATAGAAATACACTACACGACATACTTTTTTTGTTGTTTTTAAGCTCACACCAGCACAACGCAGTGGTGTTAACTGTGCCCACCAGTAACAAGGCATATTGCTTTGTCTTGCGTTCAGCTGCACTGGGAAAAAAGCTCAACGCAGCCTGAATGCATCGGGCATAAAAGGGCCCTATAACCATGCACTACTTTTTTCCACCACTCCGGTCCAGTCCGGTGGTCTGGTCCAAACGCATTGCAGCCGGGAGGGGCGTTTGAGGTGCCATGCACATGAATGGTGACACAATGCACCTAGCGTACTGTAACACATGGTAGGTGCGTTGTGCAGTAGATTGCATTAATCGTACGGAACCATGTGATTAACACCCTGGGGGATTCGGTCAGGTGCGCTGTATGGGGCCCCATCATTTCTAATGGCGGCTCTGCCTGTTTTAATAAGGAGGCAATTGCTATAGAGCATGGAAAAAAAATTAGTATGACACATTTTGTCTGTTGTATACATACAAAAAATATCTGATTATTGTTGACTAACCTGGAGAACGATTGGATCGATGCAGGTAAATTTTGTCTCTTCTCTATATAAATACTCAATGGAGCATTTTAGAAGCAGAATTTTAGGGCTTTTAATGCTGGCATTCATCTATAACAAAAACACACAATAGTCAGCACTAGTCAAGTGTTGGCACAGAATTATGCTCCTAACAGATCAAATCCTATTACCTTTTTATGTGCAATATTTTTAGTGCAAACAAATCCATTCACCACCGTAGAATCGGATTTCTTTCCCCCTGGAATCTACAATCAAACAAAAATGAAAGACAAAAGAATTGAAACCAAACTATACAATGAAATTGGATGTATATTCTGCTTGACAATACAGCACATCAAAATCCACTGCCGTTCTGTATTTTGCAGAGGTGTAGAAGGTTTACCACATTATGCATACATACAAACAAAAATAATCTGTCTCTAGGGCTGCTGTTCATTTTCTGTTTTCGATCACACTGATTTTTTTCTAATCAAAACTCCCATTTAATGCTCACTGCGGTAAACCGTCTGTGCAGATAAGCACCAAGAATTATAAGAAATGGCTTCATTCCCTCACTTAAAGCAGAACCAGTCAAAAATAACAAGATAGGAATAGCCAATTTAAAGATAAAAGAAAACAAAACCAGCTTTTTCTGAAATATTCAGCTTCAGGGTACGTTCACAGCAGATGCAGTGCGTTCCAGCTCGATTCTGGGGGCGTGGCGAGCCATTGAAGTGAATGGCACTGTAGCCACGCATTTCTGACACCATAAAAGTCCCATTGTATTTTTGGCCGTATCATATATTAAAAAATAATCGGCCAACTAATCGATTATGAAAATAATCGTTAGCTGCAGCCCTAGTATTTACTGCTTACTAGTCAGAATTATTTTGCAAAGCAGGATTAAAGAATAACTCCAGGATTTAAAAGAAAAAAAAATTAGCACTGGCCTGCAAGGGTTAACTGCTGGTTTTGCTTTAGGGGCAGAAACAAAAAAGAAAACATACTCACCTGATCCTCAATCCCGCCTGGCTGCTGGATTGGTCCTCTTATACTCTGGGATCCAGCGATCTAAACTCCACTGAAGTCATTATGTCTAATGCAGGCCATTCACATGTATTAGATGTGAGGACACTAAGGCAGTGGTTCTCAACCAGTGTAACCTCAGGACCCACATTTGTCCTTGGTCATTAAGTCGCGACCCAAGTCGCACTGCAATTGAATGCATGAAATTAGGATACCGCGCGTTCCAGCGCGGGCGTACAAGCTGTGGGTGGGAGATGTGTTTGGGGTACCATTCAAATGAACGGCAACCCAACACACCTCCCACACCAGAATGCAGGGTACGTGCGATTAACGCACTGTACTAGTGTGAACAGACCCTCAAAAACACCACCCACTCTCACTACCTTACGAGCACTGGAGTGGATCCTCAGCCTGGGGTCCAGTGTGGGCTGCTGAACTGTGACGGAACTCCATCCATATGTGCATTGCTTGTACAGCTCCCTCACACGCCCAGAAGAGGTGCTGGGAGCCAGAATGTGATGTCACCCCGGTCCAGGCACCTCTACAGGACACGTGAGGGAGCAGTAAGGAAATACACGTATGTATGGAGCTCCCTCGCGGCCATAGCCCCATCCGATCCCACCTCAATCTGGCACACGGCACCGGGCAGCATATTTTGAATGGCCGCTTGGCATGAGAACTGACAGTGCTGCGCTAGGGGGAAGCAGAGGAGCCTCTCACCTACAAAAGTGGAAGACATGCAACGATCCAGTAAACACTGGGTCGCGACCCACTATTGGGTCACGACCCACCAGTTGAGAACCAAGGCACTAAGGGACATACCACAGCTGGAGCTGAGGGGGATAGAGGTGAGCGCAGAATGCCGCAGGCTAGAGGATCATGTGGGTATATCTTCCTTACTCTGGCCCCTAGACTAAAACAAGAACTTAACCCTTGCAGTGCCTTAACCTCACCAGAAGGTTTATTTTTTTTTAAAACCTGTTGCAGTGCAGTTCTTGTCCACTGTACTTCAAACTGCCTATTGGCCCAAACATGCGTGCCTTTTCCTCAAAAAAGCCTTGCAAACCATTTTTTTTCCCTAAGCTCTAGAACATAATGTTAACAATTCTGTATTTGTAAAGCATCTTCCGGAATTACTAGAACTGCAGGTGCAGTCTCCTTTCAGCACCATCATAACCACTGATGTGCAGGGGGCTTGGTCCAAACCCAGTATACTGACGTTCTCCCAAGCCATAACTGTAACTGACATATCCTAATCCCATCCCAATCATCTGCACCAGTGCATTCTTCACTGCTTTGTGACATGTGGAGAAGGGAATACCCCTGCTGCAAATGATTTGACTGAGAGGGGGTTGTGTCCGTCACAGTTCTGCATGCGCTTGGTCAAATTCTGGTGAACTGGGTTTACACCAAGTCCCTGCACATCACAAATCATAACCCACCAGTGACCCACTAAATTGCTAAAACAAAAAAAAAAAGGCTTTGTTCTGCTCATAGGAACCAGATTTTTCAGCTGTTTATGGAAAAAATAAAAAACATAAATGGAAGAAAAATGAGCACTCATTTCCCAGTGTAATGTGTATCAAAAACAAAAGTGAAGAACTCAAATGTTAACATTTCCTTAAATGTAAAATATTATTTACATTTTCCCCTCAAAGGTTTTTTTTTTTGTAAACACTAACTTTTTTGATGTGGACAAATTGGCGGATGTCCATGTCATCATCATTCTTGACATCGGGTCGGACAGTCTGAACTACTTGACAAACCAGTGGCACTATGATGTCACGCCAAGGAAGAGAGAGCGATTCATTATACAGAAGCTGCTGTAATAGGGACATCATGTGACTGTGGTTGGCAGACCTGTGGAACATGAAACACAACTTCATTTACTAGATACATCACAAATAAATTTCTAACTAGGGCTGGTACTTAGGAAGCTTCAGTCACTGCTGCCCAAGAGATGGGACCAATGCACATTAACACTTTGCTGATCCTTGAGTGCAGCAAATAATGCAAAATACATGTTAGAAAGCATCTAGAGGTCACGGGTATCAGTGATTCTGTACATCTGTCCAAAAGGAGTGGTGAATGTACATGCACTGCGATGGCTACAGGGAGAAGCCTTGTGAGTAGAGCACTTAGTTAAAGGAGAACTATGTGGAAAAGCCTTAACCCCATAGTTCTCCTTTAAAGGAAACGTGTTCTGAGATTGCTCTGCAGATGTAGGCTGCCACTATTAACCCCTTCTAAAAATACTATTGGCTATGCCTGGCTCCCGTGATGGCCCACTGCCTCCAATAGTTTTTGAGGCACTAAAAAAAAGTATGCAGCAATGGAAGTCAAATCTTTCGATGTCCAAACCTGTGTTAAATAAGTGACCCAGAAGCAAGGCAGTCTATGTAGAAGTAAGTCAGAAAGAGAAGGTTCCATATTTATCTCATGACCGGTTTCCTATGAAAACATCAAGATAAAAATATTCTTACAATAGCCTCTCCATTGCCTGTTTTTCACCATTTTCTTCTCTTAGTTGATCCAGGGTGTTATGGTGCCATCCCAAAGGAGTGAAGGGTAGATCTTTAGATTTCTCTTCCACTCGTCGATTAAATAGAGACTCTACATAAAAACAGTTATGATTATTAATACCTTGACATCTTTGAAGGAAATATCAGCATAACTAAAGATATACTCTAGCCAAAATGGAAATGTAAGTCTTGAAGTGGATACAGAGGGCTCAGTCTACATCCTAACTTCTTAAAAAAAAACTTTACGCCCCCTGCTTTTTTTGTTTGTTTTGTTTTCATCCCCTCTCACCTGTTATGCTGGGTGTTCTTCCGAAAAAATACTAACCTGCCCAGCGTATCATGTTTGTCCTGTTGCAATATGCTGACACAGGTCGGGTACCCCACCACCAACTTCCCTTCCTACATATTCATTAGAAGCTAGCTAGCGGTCTCTTGCAGTGGGTTCTTGCAGTCAGCCCCCTGATTAAATGCTGGAAGGTCTGCCCTCCAACTGCTGTGTGTCCCTGCTCCCCAGTCTTCCAGTACAAGATGCTCGCTCCATCCCAAAAAAACAGCTGCATTCCACGGGCCTTCAATTATAAATGTAATATTTTATTGTAATCCCCAAATGTGTAGACACCACATTTATAATTGAAGACCCGTGGAGTGTGGCTGTCTTTTTGGGCTGGATTGACTAAAAGGTGAAAACACACCGGTTGGCCTGCACCTATAGGATCTCCATGACATGGATCTAGCCGGAGAATTGGAGCGGTGAGATTTCCTTGTTAACTTTACAAGATGCCTGCTATTACCTCTACTGGGCACAAAAAAAAAACCCTCTGTGCACTCTAATGAAATAGCTTGATTTCTCTGAATTAAAGCTACCATCCACTATTCCCTTGTCCAGTGAGAGCACCCTTACTGCCCCCCGAGGAACTCTTATTGTACAAGGTGTGACAGACGGTTAGTCAGGGAAATCAAGTCTTTTATCTATATATTACCTTTAAGAGACAGTCAAAGCTGGGATCCGCGATTCCCTGAACCTCTGGATTGTTATTCTCTAAAAAGCTTCCGTCCACTCAATACTGATATCAGTTTAGGGTGTACACTAATAAGTTGGTTCATGTATCTGATATTGTTGGTCTGCCTCTAGCTGAAAAGATACTCCCAACCCACTCACGTGCAGAAAGAATGTAAAGTAGCCACTGCTCCAAGCACGTACTGCGGTAGCTATTTGTATTGAAGTTATAGTCTAACTAAACGTGAGATTGTAGTCCATCACAGGAGTGAGCTTGGAGCGGAGGTTACTTTATAGCACACAGGGAACATGAGTAACAAAAGTAGCCACCCTCCAGAAGGAAGGACAGTGTCAGCACCAATTCAAAGATGATTTGAGGATCTACAGCCGAGTGACACACACAAATAAGATGCATTTTTGTTAAGGTACGTGAATAAATTTTTAAGTATTTTTGTGTAACTTTAAGGATATTAATTAAAAAGCATATAAGGGCGTTAATAAAAGGTTTAAAGTCACAAGCTATGAATGACAAATAAAGTGCTACAGCAAGTGTTTGTGCACACATAAAACTTGATTAAAGTGAACATGTCCTAGTTTGGATCTGAAAATGAGAAGTTAGTTCTTACAGTCAGGCAGCTTCATAAATGAGGACATTTATTTATTTTCTTAAACAATAAAGAGAATACAAAATGAATAAGAAGCAATCCTTAACAAGTGCTTTATGAGTTACCTTTGATGAAAGCGTCACTGATTGAAATGACCTGCTGCCCTCCGTCTTCAGACTGAAGAAACTCTAAAGAGGAGAATGATGACAGAACAAGAGATTACTCTACGTTTTCATCTTCGTGATGTGCAGCACACACCCTGTATGACTCAGAATGCATTAAACAGAGGCCTCAAATTACTGCACGCCTACCACATCCAGAATGTGAATGTCAGCGCACTGTTCACTCCAGACACACGCTGTACTCTGGCTTACAGTGCCACAGTGGTTTGTTCTCTATGTAAGTATTTACCATGACAATCAAGTCTGGAACACTAAAACCAAGGAAAGAAATTATCTTTTTTGTATGAAATTTGATGTACAATTTGATGTACACCATGCGTGGCAACAGCCATGCATGGTGATATGACCTACATGAATGAATAAAAGGATTTCGTTTTGAAGAAAACCTGGAGTGCTGGTGACCATTTTTCTGTTTAGCATACACTGAGGCACATTACTGTATCACGACACAATCATGTTAAATGAGCCTCAACACAGAAGGCAATCTTGCTCTTTTTTTTTTTCACTGCAGTTGTGATGTGCTGTCAGGAAGGGGGGGGGCATTTTATAGATGCGTTGGGGTGCCATGCAAAATGCTGCTGCTTTCACTATCCAGTCACAAAGTTGAGGGTGTCCATCCACCTGGTTGGGCTGTGTGATGGGCCTGAGTATATCTCAGGACTTGATAGACAGAAACACAGTTCCTTTGGCCGGTAAAACATCTCCCGTGATATGTATTTTATCTGTTTGCCTACATTTCAGCCTTAAATGAACTTCCACTTTTGAAGCCAAATTAAAAATAAAAAACATTTTATGTTTGCTATATGTTCCAGCTCGCATTGCATAACTTAAAAATGCAATGAGCTATTATTATGCTCTCTTTTTTTTGAAGTGCTTAAAAATCCTATCTAGTTCTCCCCCCTATGTAATGTTAAGGAGGGGGTTGTATGAAGTTATACTTACTCTGATGAACCATGCCTGTACTGTGCTGGCACATTTCATTATCAATTGTAAACTAGATTTGAATACGGTCTGTCCTAACAAAGGGTTAAAGGCTTGGAGACATTGTATGGTAATGTTAGGACACTCAGTTTCAGCCTTAGTCTGACACTCAAACTGCTCCGAGTAGCCTGAAATCTGCACAAAGCCCTTCACCAAAGAAATATCTAAAAAGGTAAGAAATACACATTTAAAAATTATTTTTTTGGCAGGCTGTGTGAATGGGAACACATGGACATATAGTGGGGATTTCTCAAATTTGATTGCAAAAGTAGAACTACACTTTAAAGTTGAACTGAAGCCAAAACTTTTTTTTTAGTTTTGGATGGAGTGGAGAGGGATTTAGATCTTTGTTGCTCTCTGTAACCCTGTTAAGAGAGATTCACCCTCTCGGTTTTACCTGATGACTTCTCACTGAAAGTGAAAGAAAATCACCAATTTTCGGTTGTCACCAGAACAGGAATAGATGGAAAATCTTGCAATGGGGACGCTAGTTCTGGTGATCCTGCAGACTACCAGGGATTTAATTTCACTTCTTGTTGTGGCTATTAAACAGGAAGTAAAGAGAAATCTCCCCAATGGGACACAGATGCCACAAAAACGGGGTTATAACCTCCCTTACTCTATCCAAAACTTAAAAAAATAAATAAAAAAAAGAGCTTTGGCTTCAGTTCTACTTTAATATGTTAGATATTTACATATCTTGTTAAGATACAAATAAATGTTACTAACAATTGCTTATTATAGTTGAGTCACATTTATGTCTTGTGTTATGTGTCTTGACTCAGAATGTTGCTGTTTCTCTTTAGCTTTTTTTCACACTGATGAGTTGTTTCCCTTCCTTCTAATTCCAGACGCCGAATATTTTTTTATGTTACCATGGACAAATTCTACACTGCACACTGTATGAATCATACATGAACCATCAAGAACTTAATGTCTTTTTTGCATATTTTGCTATGGATAATAAAAGAACAAGAAATACTTAATAGATTATTTGGATTGCAGAAAAAAATGCTGCAAACAAAGCCTAATTTAACATTAGGCATGCTAAAGCTCATTCCAATAAGCTCCCCTAATGAAGGGGTGTTTTTGTTGGTTTAGTGATTGATTATTCTTCACTTGGACCTCTGATCAGGAGATCCAGCATTATTTAGGACAGAGGGGTGTTGTTAAATGTGTGCAAAATACACTAATATATATATATATATATGGGCTGTGGAAATTAAAGATGAATTTCTCAATTAATCGTTAAACTTTTTGATCGCTAATGAAAACACTCACCTCTCCGCCGGCTTCCGGGAGTCCCGCGGCGATCCGGTGATGTCACGGACATCACCGGACTTCTCCCCTCTCCCCCTCCAAGTGGCTCCGTCGGCTAACGAAGGGAAGGGGGAGGAGTCCGGTGACGTCGATGTTCGTGACGGCTAACGAAGGGAAGGGGGGAGGAGTCCGGTGACGTCGATGTACGCGACGTCACCGGACTCCTCCCCCCTTTGTTAGCCGATGGAGCCACTTGGGCCAGTGAGTTTGCACAAGAAACTTTCTGCACAAGCACCAGCCAAGGCATTGGCCTATACACATCGCAGTAATGAAGTAATAAAATGAACTAGGATCACACTAATTCAGCACGTTATTATTCTGAGTTGCCCCACTCAAGCGGCGGCCATGTTGAGTAGGGCACATGAGATTAATAATGATTAATAATGTGATCCTAGTTCATTTTATTACTTTATTGCTGTGCTATATGTGTACAGCCCAATGTAGTTGGATCTGTATGTGCGTTATAATTAATCAAAATTAATCGATTCATCGATTTCTAAAAATTTCGATTAATCGAGCACGAAAATTTTAATCATTACCAGCCCTAATATCTATCCATACACACACACACACACACACACACACCACCGTTCTACATATTTATATTAAGGATGAAGTGTACAAAAAAAAAAAAGTCTGAAAATGCGGTGCTTCTCCCCTCCCCACTGGGCGCCGGGTGGAAGCTTCAGCCTGTGTCCATTCTGATCCCACTGTGTCGGTAGAGGCAGGAAGGATCAGAGGGAACACAGAGCCTATCCAGCTGCCGGCACCCAGTGGGGAGGGGAGAGGCTGTCAGGACGGACAGTGTCAGCAGGGAGGAGAGCTGCAGGTAGAGGGAAACAATTCAGGTTGGAGAGCGGGGAAGATCAGCGAATATTTCACATTGCTGATCCTTCCATATATTGCATAAACATTTGTGTGATCATTTCGAATCACACCAACGTTGTAAATAACTGAGGACATAGTATGTAGTTACTGTGTCCCCAATTATAAATGAATGGGAAGTGTTATACATAATTTACTGTTCATTCATGATTGCAGAAATAGTAACTGATACTATCTCCTGAATGGACAGGAACAGCTCAGTATAGGCTTACTGTTCATTCATAACATGCAAAAAAAGTGTTTTAGGACTCAATCTCTTTTTCTGTTTCAAAAGGGAAATGTTAGGGGTCTAGACCCTTGATATTTTCCCAAAGCCACTAACAGTAAAGTAAAAAAATAAAACAATTCATGTTACATATATATTATGTTATATATGTAACATGATCACATATAAAACACCAACAATGATAGCAAGGGACCATTAGATTCTTGCTTAGATATTAGGTCACTGGCGAGGACGCTCCAATAGCAGTATTTTATGCATGGAAAGTACTTTTTTTAAACTATTTTGGTAATAGTGACATTGTGCCCCACTGATGCATGCAAAATGTACATTTAGGCGCAGTTCACACCTGAGTATTGCAGAAACACGCGTCTCGTTAGTGCACATTCGTGCGCATTTTCACACTTGTGTGCCATGTTCGCAAAAAAGCTCAGTTAGTATTTTGAGGGACACGCGTTTGGTATCTTTTGTTTCTGTGTTAATGCGAGTTTTCACACACACACACAAACGCAGAGCAAAAACCCACATCTTGCTGGCCGCATTTGGGGTACCATTATGAATGAATGGCACCACATGCGTGTTTCCGTGAGCGTGCACCAAACACGCAGCGCAAGCACATTTGTGCATGTTTCCATATACGCATGCCAAACGCGCATGTAACCATAATGCGCAGGGGTGAACGGGGCCATAAAGGCCTATTTACACTTAACAGTAGGGTTGCACAGATACCAAGTACAGTACTTGGTACAAGTATGAGTACAAGTACAGTACTTGGTACAAGTATGAGTACAAGTACAGATACTTTTTGAGCTCCAAGACTACACTAGAGTAAAATTCAAAAATTAGGAGGCAGCTGTATTTGTAAGGAGCACACGGAGCTCCTGGGATTTGTACAGCTCTGTTTTAATGTACGATTTTGTTTCTATAAATAAAGGGATGCACCGATGCCAGTTTTGCGTGTACGAGTACTGGTACTTGCCGAGTACTTACTGTTACATTTTTGTTCATTAGTCTGTATTGATTTAGAAAAACTGCCACATGACAATAATTTCAAGACAGTGGTGGAGTGCCAGAGCCGGATCCCAGCTTCAATCGCTGCAACCCTGGTAGTTCTCATGAAAATGCCAAGTATATGCACTGGTACTCGAAAAGTATCTGTGCATCCCTTCTTAACAGTAATGCACCTATCTTGCATTGCTGCTGCAGTGTAATCCATTTTCATTGGCACACCAGTACTAAAAGTGACACACCTGCGTTGTAGTGTACCATAACAAACGGCAACGTACAGTAGTGCTTTGTGGTGCATTGCGCTAGAAAAAAAGTGTCATGTGCTTTAATCACATGCATAGAAAGTCTGCGCATTTTGAACGAACACATTAATAAGGCAAAACACCTGCACGGTAGTGTGCCATAAAGCACAGCACCGTACAGCAGCTCCTTGCAGTGCACTGAGTTAGAGAGAAAGGTTCATGTACTTTTTTTTTAAACACATTAGGGTGTGTTAACAGCACATTTAATTTGAATTGGCTGCCTTAACACGACGTGCGTCTATGCGCAACATGATGCGAACCACAAAAAGGTAAAAAGGCCATTAATGAAAGGTAAATTATAATACCTTAGGAAAGTACCTTAGGAAAGAACATAAACCATCCAGGATGTGGCGATAACTGTGCACCTCTAGCCTAATGCCCTATAAAATGTTCTTCTATTACACGATCCTATAATAGATGTATCTATAATCATTTTAATCACAAAATATACAATTTATCCATATATTTTGTTATTAGTATGTTAAAAAAAAAGAAGAAGGTTTACAATATCAACAATCAGAAAAAGGCAAAGATCAACCAATATGAATAGATTTTTCTTGGATCTACTACTACTAAAAAGGAAAATGTGCTTGTATGCTCTCATCTATCACACTTCACACATTACAGTTGCTGTATCAAACAAGATGTTTTGAAGAGAAAACGTTTCCAATCATTATAGTGATACGTGCACCACAGCTTGTTCGTGTAAAGCAATGGCTAATTGACAAAAAGTAGATAAAAACCTAAGTGAAATAGATCAAAAGGTGTTGAAAGACAGAAATCTCAAGTGTAAAAGAAGCCTGAACTTCTACACCATCAATGGCTGGCATACGTCTCTACAGGAGGGGGGAGGGGGGAAATCACTTTTGGTACATCTAATATGTGCTTTGTGCATTTGAAACTCAAGACTCTTTCATCTTTAGAAAGAGTAATGAACAACTCCCTTTAAATGCCTGGAAACACAAATATAGACATGGCTGCTCCTGGGACAGCAGCCTCTTTTTAGATCTGCAGCCTGGTAACCGCTGACCTTAATAGCTGTCAAGTACAGATACTGATAAATCACCTATAGGTATCTGTGATTATTAAAAAATGGTTCTGCATGTGTTCATCCAGGCAGTGCAGAAATCTGTCAGAAATCCTAAACTATCATTATGGAATAACTAAACATGACTGTAACAAAAAGCAATTTGCAAGACATGTTTATATATCTGTTTATGTATCTTACTAAAGTTATTCTTGGGCGACAGGTCAACCTAAAGCAGAATTTTAACCAAAAAAAACAAATCAACATGAAATCGCCCATTAAAAGATAAAATAACAAGACCAGCTATTCTGTTTGGCTCCAGAGATTTCCCCTGCAGTAATTTTTTCTGCCGCGAGAAGTGTCCTCAGTCTGACGATAAGTATTATTCAACATATTTCCTCTGACTCCAGGTTGTCCTGGACTCACCCAAGCCTGTGACTGGACAATGAAAGAAGTAGCAGCACAGTGATAAGCTCTTTCTCTTCCTATCAGCACATGAACTTATTGACTCCTTGTGTTGCTAATTGCTCTTACAATCCAGCCCTCCTGCACAGAGGACTGCAAGATGCTGATACCAGGTGAGATTCAGGTACTTACATGGTTGCACTGAAAGAAAAATGTATTCATATATTAATGATTAGGCAGTTATAAACGGTAATACTGTATCGTTCACCTTTAAAGGAGAAGTACTGGGAGAGTAAAATGTACTCTTCCCAATACTTCGAGTCGGCAGTGTCACACGACGGCTCTATAGATCGAGAACCGAGTGATCACAAACCGCTCACGATCTTCTCTCTGTTAGTCACCACTTCCCACAGAGATTTCCCATCCCCTCTCTCTATTCCTCCAGCATTCTCTGGTAACGGGTGGATCTCAACAATATTGGGATTCTTGCCGGCTGCAGTATTGCTCTGCGCTGTCAGCATAAAGTGGGCGGTCGTCTGCTATATACTTACTTTGGGTCACAGGTGTATATTAAAAGGAGAACTATGGGGTCATGGCTTTTCCCCATAGTTCTCCTTAGGGTAACGGGAGGACACAAACTAGCGTCCTCCCGTCACCCTTGGCTCAGTTTACCCGCAGCAGGAGCGGATCCCGACATCGATGTCGAGATCCGCCCAGCTGCGTGAGTGACAGCTGGCTCTGCCTATCTAGAGGCAGAGCCAGCTGTACCCGCCCCCTCCTCTGTCCGTTCCGCCAGTCAGCGCTGGCGGGTCGGAGCGGGGAGAGGGGAATCCAGCCCCTCCCGTCATGGCAGAGAGCCGTGACAGGATCGAGAGGTGAGCGAACCCGGTATGTGTTCGCTCACCTCCTGATCTACTGAGCCGACCTGTGACAGTCTCATTGTCAGAGGTTGGCTAGAACTATGAGGTGAGTGAGTTCTCTTTTAATGCACTAATTGGGTACAACAACCAAGCGTTCACTCTTTTTAATGAGGGTAGAAATCCTGTCCTCAATCCTGCCTCATGTTCATCAATATGTACAGCTAGGGTTATTTAATAACAAATGAAAGACCAATGCAGTACAACCCCCCAATGACAACCAATAGATTACTTTCCACCTGTTTCATGTGGGACTATAACAAGTGCAGCTCTGGTGATGCCATCTAGCGCTTTTCTTTGGAAGATATCATTAAATATTCCCAGCCATTGCAATGTGATGAAGATGAAAAGTTACACAGTGTTACCAGTTTGCAGATCATTTCTGCATCACAGCACCCATTAGAGAGCAGTGTCTGTACCAAAATGTCATACATTTCTTTATCATCGTTTCCTAAAATGTAAGTTACCACTTTAAGGTGTATGCGTCTATTCAAGAGAAGAAGCAACATATTACTACATGCATACACCGAAAATACATTTCTGATACAGAAACACAAACAAATTAATCAGCAAACATTTACATAAATTAAATTTAGCATTAGTAATTAATTCAAGAGCAATGATGAAAAAAGACAGGTTAGAGGTCACTCAATTAGTAATCAAGCAATAGATTTTCAGCTTGGTGCACAAAGATATTGAAATGTTGACTGTGTCCAAGCAAAAACATGCATTATAATATAGGTTAAAATTTCAAGTACTCCCCCCCACAGGCATAGCATGCACATTATGGCAAGTAACATACTCCTTTATAACCTGACTTACCTTTAATACAATACAAACGTGATACCAGACCAGGAAAAGTGCAGTTCCTCAGTTAAATGGCTCGTTCAGCGCTAGCTTAATTCTAAGGTATAGGAGAAAGCTTTTCTGAATGGTAAGTGTGCAGAGATGTAACAAGGTTTTGTTCAAATGTGTATGCACTGTATGTGTATCTCACGTCATAGGTTTGCTTTTTTCTGCACTGTGATTCTTTTAGAAGCATTGCCTATTGGAGCTCTTCTTTGCCATGTCTATTACCAAGCCCCAGACAACGCATGAATGTATGTATTCTGACTTTAGCTAACCTTGATGGAAGAGCTACTACGTTTTCGGAGTAACGAGGAGGAAGTTGGATTACATACCAGATTTAACAGATAATTAGCAACCAAATGAAGACAGATTCATAATGGAAGTGCCTGTTAATGCCCAATTTAATACCTTTCTGGTCAGCTGGGTGAGGGGGTACATGGGGGTACTTGGAGTGCTTCTTGATGTGGAAGTTGACGTTGTCCATCTCCACATTGAGGCTGATGGAAGCGGCCGAATCACTATCCATAGCAGACTGGAAGCTGCTGACTGATGTGCGTTTGCTAGGACTGGCAGAGTCTTTGCATGATGCAGATAAGGAAGAAAGCAAAGGGTAAAGGAGGAGGGAAACAACGGGAAATTGGGGAAGAGGGAAAAAAAACTAAATTTAGTATATAAAAAGGTCCCCAAGAGGAGTCCTTAGATGCAACTACCAGGTCAGGTTCGCAATAGACACTCGTCAAAGCAACATAATAGCAAAGAAATACTCAATGCATTTAGTTGCACTCAGAACCCTGGGGAACTTGGCAAAAGAGCATCTAAATACTACAATAAAAACTACATATTAATACAGGATAGAGAACGAAAGGTAGAAACTCAAGGCTAATACATGTAAGAGGAGCAGATGATGTATGCTTGAAAAAAAGGTAACACAAACCACCACAAAAGACAATTTTGTATGACTGAAGATAGTGTTAAAGCTTTAAAAAAAAAAAAAAACATGAATTGACATTAAAGCCTGTTAGCTGTAAATCTAATTTGTCACAGCCGGCAACCAAGACCATGCATGAGCTCATGCAGCCATATTTCCATTAAAATATCCAAGACTGGCAATACATAAAACAGAGTTAGGCCAAACCAACACAGGTCATTTTTAGTAGCACATTAGTGCCATTTGTTAATCTTTATGAGTAGTAAGTGACCTCTTTGTTTCTAATCACTATCACATTTAGGGCCTGCGTTAACAGGCTTTGGAATTGTGTCAAAAGCATTAGTTTGACCTCATTTTGAGATGCTTCTGAGATCATTCAGCATTAATTTGTAGGTGCATTTAATCTGCAGTTGACCTCCACCTTTCCTGGCACTATACAATCTAATTTAGATACAATCTTATTTAGATCTACCATTACCTATGTAGTGCAAGGGTCTATCTAATTTGATACTAATGCAATGAATAGTTTAGGCTTGTCCTCATATAACATTGTACAATCAATCTCCTTTAGATTTTCTGAAACGATCCATATACGGCCAGCTTTAGGCAGGTTTTGTATCCCCATAGACTGGTATTAGAATGCAAAACCAGACTGACATAAAACAAAAGCCCCTCAACAGAGTCCCTTAAGCTAAGTGTACATGTATTTGCAATGACTAGTATTGACGTACAGTAGATCCACTCATGGACTTTACTTTGTCTTTTCTCTAGCTGCAATGAATGAAATCCTCCTAAAATAGAATGATTTGCAACACTCAACTTTAAATTTACCATCCAAATTTAAACAGCCTCATTTATGAATACAAAAATGATATAAATATAGTACAAACATAGCCAACAACTTTTTTGCCATCTCTTTTCTATTGAAGAGATTTTTCTTTACTTCTTGTCCCAGATACACAACAGGAAATCTTTCCAAAGTAAGCACTAATCCCTTAGACAGTTGTCCCCAGAATAAGTGTCCTCTCTGGAAGATTTCTTACTTCCTGTTCTGGTGAAGACTGTAAGCGTTGTATTTCTCACATGTTTTTGTCTTGGTGCCAATAGTCATCAAGAAAAATTGAAAGGTTAATTCTGCACAGTGGGGGAATGGACAGCAAGAAGAACCTTTACCCCTTCAGGACTGGAGACATACACTGTACTTCCCGAGCATGAAGTGTCCAAATGACTGACCACGTACACTGTACGTGATCAGCTATTTGCAGCTTTTAAAAGCCGGTAACCACTGAGATCAGCGGTTACCGTTCAATAATGGATGCCTCAGTATTGAGGCATCCAATTATAAAGGAATTAAGCTTTTGTAAAAGCTTAATTCTTTCATCAATTAAAGCAGTGGTCCCCAACCCCCGGGCCGCAGCCCGGTACCGGTCTGTGGATCAAATGGTAGAAAAATTATCAAACGTTGACCGGTCCGCAGCGATAAAAAGGTTGGGGAGCACTGAATTAAAGAATTAAGCTTTTACAGAAACCTGATCTCTGTCAGCGATCGAGTATCTGACAGTGACAACAGAGCCGTGTGAACGGCTCTACTAGATCACTGTGTTGACATCTTTGGATCTTTGGCGATGTGTACAATGATACAATGTTTCATTTTGCTACATATTTATATGCTTCACAGAAATATGTAGAAAAATGGAGCATTGTATCATTGTAAAAAAAAAAAAAATTGTATCAGACTTCTGATTGTTGTAAGAACATCAGACGTCTTTAGAGAACGTATATTACTGCCATTACACAGCAAAAGTGCTTCAGTCATTAAGGAACAGAGACTGGAAAAAAAAAAAAAGCTCAGTCATGAAGGGGTTAAAGCACATCTCTGACCAAAACGGTTTATAATGCAGTCAGTCCTTAGACATAAGGGCTGCATTAATTTTGTTGTTTATACTTTCCTCCCCTTTATTTTCACTTGGTAACACTATTCTTGTCCTGGAGTGAAGGGATAAAGTGAATTTAATAATTAGCAGTAATTTCTTTGTCTCCAGTTAGAGTACTTGTTTAAACAACCTTAAAAGTTTCGAGTTACTGGAAGACATGTGTTTTACAAGAAATGTATGTGCACTGTTATCTAATTTAGTTTCAATGTCGTATGCATCAGTGTTTACTGTGATTGGTTAATGCTTAACCACAGCCCTATGTTTACTTGATATATTGTACCAACCCGCCAAATAGATTTTGATACTGGGCCGATACCACACACCTTTATGTTTGGGTTGATTCTCATATCCCGAGCTCGAGAGTGTACCGATTCTGCAGAAGAGAAGCAGAAAGTCCACGGCAGATTTGACCCCGGGGTTATCACAGAATAACCCATCAATTAAATGGGTAGTTATGCTCACTCCTCCACTATATCTATGGAGGTTTATGCATCTTCCCTCCATAAACTACTTATCTCCCCATCCTGTAAATTGAGGATGGGGAGATGAGTAGTTTATGGAAAGAAGATAAGATTGTTTTATGCTTCCAGTTCAACTGTTACGAAAAGATGTATTTTCTGTACTTAATGAAAACGATATTAGCCTGAAAAGAAAAAAAAATCATACAGCAACCACATCTAAGAACTCATAAGCGGAAATATATTAATTTTTTGTTCTTGGGTTTAGTTATCTTTTAAAACTAGTATACTCTGAACAGTAGTATACGAACAGACCGCACTATCCACATAATTCCAATACTTCAGACTTTATTGAAATTCACAGCAAATCCAGTATAACAGTGAATAAAAGTGTATAAAGCAACAAATACCAGCACTGCAAACCCCCAACCAACTACAACCTCTCACATGTTTCACCCGTAGGCTTATTCATAGACCTCATGTGAGAGGTTGTAGCTGGTTGGGGGTGTGCAGTGCTGGTATTTGTTGCTTTATACACTTTTATTCACTGTTATACTGAATTTGTTGTGAATTTCAATTAAGTCTGAAGTATTGGAATTCTCTGGATAGTGCAGTCTGTTCGTATACTACTACATTCCAAGGTGGAGACGCACCTATTAGGCCAACACCTGGGGAGTCCTAATGGCGGCTAAGGAATTGGAGCGGTAAGATTTTCTTTGTCTATACTCTGAACAGTAATTTGTTCACCAAAAAGAAAGCAAAAACATGGCCAAACAAAAAAAAAGGGGGAAAAAAAACAAATGTATGGCAAAGTTATCAAGATCAATAAACAATACTTAGGCACTTACTAGTTAAATTATCTTCACCCTCATCTGCAATTTGTTCTGTGTCGCTGTCATCAAATTTGATGTCCTTAAACCATGATGGCTCAGAATGTCCTTCTACAGAGTTCACAGAATCACTATCAGGCGAAGGAGTCTCGGAAAATTCGGTGCTCTGGAATTATGAAGAGTTACTGATAAAGGATATCTGCTCATGTAGCATGAAATTAGAACATCATGTTTAAGCAATTTCACGGGTTTTTTTGAAGGGCTATTTTATCTATTTTAGCAGAGAGCATTGGAATACACAAACTAGTATTAGGCGACATCCAGCTAAATTAGTTCAGGTCATAAAAGAAACTTGCTGCAAATAAAATGTATTTGGATAATTAAAAAGAAATATGACTAGAATCAGGTCATATTCCAATATTTGGAGGTGCACCGAAATTAAAGTTTTCAAAACCAGAAAAAAATACAAATGTAACCTTTTCAAAGGTTATAAATGAACAGGAAGCCTCTATACTGAGTGCTCCTGTTCATTCACAACTTGTGGAGATAGTACGTTGTCCACAATCATGAATGAACAGGAAGTGATGTAGATCACTCCCATTCATTCATAATTGGGGACACAGTAAACATACTATGTCCTCAATTATTTACCAACACTCAGCAATCACTGTTATTAAAATACAAATTTAACATGTTTTATTTTCACTCTTATATCATCCTTGCCAACATTTGATTCTAAATCTGATGCCTAACTTAAAATGTTAAAACTAGAAAAAGCTGCAAGGCCTTAGAGTCTCTGGATTTAAAAAAATAACAACAAAAAACACCACTATATTTGCATTCACTGCAATGGTTAACTATGTGTTGAAGTCTAGGGGTATGGTGAAAAGGACTGATCCCCCACAACCCTGATGGTCACACTGACCTCTCTCTGGCTCATGGACTGTCCTTCGTCGTTCTCACTGTCTGGAGGGTTGGGGGAGTTTTGTTTCAAATAATTACCACTGTCTGTACTGGCAGATGTCATTATCACGTGCAAACTAGAGAAAAAGGAAAACATTTGAGATGAAAATGATTTTACATTTCAACGCCATAAAGGAGGGACTTAATGTGGATTCTGGTTTTCTGACACACTACCAGAACTTTTTACGAATCTACAGAACATCACAATATTCATGTATGTGGTATATCTCTGATCTGTTTAGGGTTTATTTGTCATCCTACGTTTATTTTTTCTGTCTTTTGATTATCAGGAGGCATTTTTTACTCCCAGGTCCAACATTTATGACACCCCACTAACCCCCTCCCGCCCTCCTCTAACAGCTTTCTCCTTTCTTAACTGACATGTTGCTTAGTATTGCTTCTGACCTGAAGAAGAAAGGTTCACTCTCGAAAGCTAAACACACACACACATATATATATGCATATAGCAAGCAGTAGATATATGCAAAAAGTGAAAGAAAAAAAAAAAACACTTTTAAAAGGGTTAATACTTATCCATGTCTTCCCCGCGCGCTCCAGTCTGAAAATGTGAAAATTCTCGGGCGGCCACATGCGCAGATCACATTTTCGGCCGGGACGCGAGGAGAGACACAAGGTAAGTCTATGGACGCGTGCGCCCGCATGCAGACACAGTGGGACAGGAAGTACCAGCAAGCCCAGAGGAGTCAGCGCTGGATAGGAGACCCGCAGCAGCGCTGGAGGGACAGATGAAAAGGACAAGACAGAAGAAGACGATTGGATTAAGAAACCTTATTAAAAGGTAAGTGCTGACATTAACATTGGGGGGGAGGGGGAAACATTTTTGCCTTTAATGTCACTTTATTGAACTTTCAAAAAAATTTAAAAAAAAAGTGTCCCTCCGTAACTCCCTACATCAGCTCACAGGCATCTATTCTAACCACTAGAACAGTGGTTCTCAACCTTTCTAGGGCCGGGACCCCTTGGTAACATTTGCCAAGTTGTGGTGACCCCCAACGGAGCGCTGGACTCCAGAATTAGTAAGGCACTGGACTAAAAATAGAAGCACACTCACAATACCAGCCGTCCCCAGCCCCTGCTACCTGCTCTGTCACCATGCAGCCTTCTCAGCCCCAGCACTGCTTAGACGCCCGCCTTCCACAGAGCTCACATTGTATGGGAGGCAGGAGGACAGCAGCGGCTGTGAATAGAAAAGCCCTGCTGTACACACTCCCCGGCCACTAGATGTCGCTGCAGTGGCCAGGGAGTGTGTATAGCGGCACTTTTATATTCACAGCCTCTGCTGTCCTCCCGCTGACTGACACCGCTGCACTAGGAGGAGGCTGAGGAGCCTCTCACCTAGCGCAGCAGAAGTGAATGCTGCGACCACCTCAACAGTGAGTTGCGACCCACGGGTTTAGAACCGCTGCACTAGAAGCTGCCTATGGTGTCCTGTGTATAATTGTAAAAGTTGAATAATTGAAAAAGTTGAAATACTCTATCAAGGCAAAATTTTCAACCAGTTAACCACCCAGCACACAAATCCCTTCATGGATGGAATGCAAAAACAAAAGCTGAGAAAGTGTCAGGAAGGGGTAGAAACAATCTGAGTGTAAAATGCACAGACTATAATATTATAGTCATCTGCACATTCCCCTTAAAAACACAGAACAGTAAGACCAAATACAACTTGGCATACCTGAAGAGGTCTGTATAAGGCATATTCATCACGAAAAAGCTGATCATGGTGGGTGACACAGTCTAACCATCGACCATCCACAAGAGCTTGTCCAATTGCTATAGCCTGTGCTCTGGAAACAGAAGAATTAGTACATCAAACACTAATAAACTGATTGATTGATTGATAGCCTAATCAGACAGTACGCATATTAGTTTAGGACAAATCATTTAAAGAAATAGACTTTTTAGGTACTAAAATACAAGCCTCTGATAAAAATATAGACTTTTACAAATTATTAACGATAAAATATGTAATAAAAATCAGCGCTCAAATATAATTTTTAATATTACACAGCCTTGGATTATATTAGTCCCCATCCTATACCTGATCACCATATTATTTTTCTTCTGGTACAACAGATACGATTACCATATCAGTTATTGTATATTTGTTGGATAGGCGATGGACTGGAGATCTTTCCCTACACATTTCATGGACATACATTCTGTTTCTTCTGGAGCATAACAGTATATTCTAGAACAAGCAAATAAAATACCCTCAGTTATGCTCCTGCAATCCACCGCCTATCCAACAAATGAACAATAACTGATATGGGAGTGTGTATAGCGGCACTTTTATATTCACAGCCTCTGCTGTCCTCCCGCTGACGGACACCGCTGCGCTAGGAGGAGGCTGAGGAGCCTCTCACTAAGCGCAGCAGAAGTGTATGCTGTGACCCCCTCAACAGTGAGTTGCGACCCACTTTTGGGTCGCGACCCACAAGTTGAGAACCGCTGCACTAGAAGCTGCCTATTGTGTCCCGTGTATAATTGTAAAAGTTGGATTACTTGTCATACAAGAAAAATAATTGATATGTGGTAATCAATTATAAAATGAGGACTAGTATAATCTAAAGTGTGATATTGAAAATATGTTGGAGTGCTGATTTTTATTATATATAATTTTATCTGTTATCCACTATCTCTTCTGATTTTTCCTTGGTGTAATTATGGATGCGATACTCCATATATCAACCAATGGATATTCTCAATAATTGCCATCGGTGTAAAAATAGGATTAGTAAAAACTGAGTTTGAGGAAATTCTAAATCTCATCACAATCTGTTATGGCTATTTGGATTGTAACAATTTTTAAAAGATTGTATATATAAAAAAAACAAAAAGAAAACCCCACAATAAGGGTACACACTGTTTAAATGTTATATACTTGTTGTTATATGTATTTTTTCCTCTATAAATATGAAATAGTGTAGATTACCGAGTTGTAATGTGCCCATTTCTAATTAGCCAATTAACCAGCTCCTTTCCCACAATGCAGTTGGGGTGTGTTCTTAGCCAATAACGATGATCCTGGAACTCCATGCCACTGTTGTTGTTACAAATCTTTTTCCATAATTCCCTCAGCTGCACGGAATCCTAAATGAACACAATCACAGATCAGTTAAAAAAAAAAAAAACTTTATACACTCCTTGAACTTAAAGTGCAACTCTAGCAAAAACATTCTCTTTCTTTTGGATAGAGTGATGAAGAAACAAGAACAGAACTGAAGAAAGTATTAACCAGGCAAAGGAATCCATAAATCCATGAGCGGGTTACATGCATAGCATATCAGGTTAAACGAAAAAAGGAAATAAAAAAATTGAGGTCACCCAAATAAAGAAAAAAACAAAACACAATTCACAGAACTCTAGAACCACCATTCATCAAAGGTTTAAAAATAAAACATTATAAAGCATCGTCCAGCCAACAAGGATGTAACACCTTCCTAAACCCCAATCAGACAATTCCCTAACGTGCAACAATGTAACGTCTTATAAATATAAAAATCCATTTATATTTTGTGTATTTACATGTGCTTATCCATCCCACTCTATCCAAAGCTAAACAAATATGTTTTGGGAGAAAATCCACTTTTAACAATATTTTTGTCCTAGCATAGTAACAGTAGAAAAGCAAAGTTTTCCATAAATCTAACCTAACATCTCCTAGAAAACCTTCAGAAAAGGAAGGAAAAACATCTCCTTGTGTAAAAAAATGTCTACAGGTAAATTACAATTTGTATATTTGTTATAACATCAATTCTATAACGATTTCTTAAAGAGAAGTCTAAGATATAGAAAATTTATCTAAGCCAAGTATTGAACTATTTGGTTAATGTAGCAAGCAGACAAACAAGTAGTAGTAGTTGAATACTGATCAAGCCAGTAATAATAAACCCATAATACAGCAAAAAAGAATTTGCAAAGTGCTACAGTGCCATTACCCACTAAAAAAAAATAAAAAAAAAAAAAAAAATGATCGGCCAGCAGCCTTCATTGGTCTGCTTGTTGTAACATAATGCAAGTGATGACCTGCGATTTGTTTTTTGTACTGTACTAATTAACTGCATCTCACTGACCTCTGCATTATATTATTAGATAAGCTCTGCATTATACTCTACAACTATAGATTCACTTTAAACAAACTCGGTATAATGGCCGTACAGAGCTGTCACATTGCCACCTAAAAAATTGTTCTGTTCAGTAACTAAGATTTAAATACGGACATTATTTCTAACATCATTAAGGGAGATGCTTTGCCTATGTGAGAAAATGAACACAACATGAATTATAGTTATTACACCAAATACAAGAATGTTGTATTTGCAATAAAGACAGATATTCTTTACCAGTAGTATTTTCCTCTCCTCTTCATTGGTGTCATTCTTTAGGTATGTCCGGGAGGCTTGGGGGCTGACAGAACTTTCATAGGCTGGCACCATGGGGGATCCAGAACGATCCAGTGATAAATTAGTAATACTGGCAGACCTAAGGAAACGAGAACATTATATTACTTGTACAGTAAAAAGAAGTGAAGCAAAATATTCCATGAACCCAAAGCTCTACTTCCCCTTGCTCCTGCCTACTCAAAATTGCCACTAAGAGACATCAGATTCTTACCTGTTGGCACAACCACCAATGGCCTACTGTTTCCCTTATGCTCTTAGGGTGAGCGGAGACTAGAAGTGGGACCTGTGTGAGCCAGAGTAAATGACTGGCTGCGCAGGCAGAGGGAGCCAACCAGTGTCTGTGCCTTACACGGATACCACCACATTCATTTAGGTCCGGAAGCAGCAGGACACTGGTATCCAGAAGAAGTGGGTTAGGGTTACTGTTGCCAGGTTAGGTTGTGTCTTTTGGACAGGAATCTCAGAGGCAGGATACAGACAACATGCAGACATAAAAAAAAAAAAAACACAACAACAACACTGTGCTAGATCTCCTGTATTGGAGGTCAGGCTTCATAAAGAGAGCCTGTCACCTCCAGACGAAATCACACAGGGGCTTGTTACCCCCTGTGTGATAGCAATAAATCTATGTGGGAAAAAAAAGTAATAAAATTTAAAAAAGTAAAATAAATAAATGTAAAAAAATAAAAGTAAACCAACCCAGCAGCCCCTGCCATCTGCATGCGAACAAACGCACGTGTAGGGCATTGTGTGTGTGCGCGTGCATTCCACTGTTATTAAAAAACAGAGTGACTACTCTTCTCTATTTAAATAGGCTGACCGACTGATTGAAGCCACGTGTGATACTAATTGCAGAAAACAGTTTGAAATATCACTTTAATCCAATGAATTATAATCTTGTCTAGGGGTACCAACAAATAGAAATGCGTAATCAATAATTTATCTCTTTTCACATCTCTGTCTCTTTCTTTGCTTTACTCTATGACATACCAAAGGCATGCAGTTATACAGGAGACAATTACTTTTAGTTTTATCACTCTTCAGGAGGAAAAAAGACAAAATACTCGGCATCGGTATCAGTGCATCCCTAGCAAAAAGCTTCAGTTTAACAAGTGTCTTTAAAATGCATAGTTCTGCACCTTTCTGCATTTTTAAAATCCATGTACTGTATAATTATTGCGCATTCATATGTAATAACTAGTACAAAAATGACATTTATGCTATGGTGCAATCTCTGATGGCAGTAAATGGGTTAATCCCTTTCTTACCGATTCCTCGCAGGTGACTTTCCAGGATCTTCTTGAACTGAAGCAAGACGTGCAGTCAGCGGTTTACTAGAATCCTGGTGCACAAGGCTAAACCAGTATAAAAGAAGCCAGTCAAACATTACTTCTCAAACAATAAAAGAAACAAGCTTTAACTAGAATTTACAACTAAGCTTAAACCAAACAAAGACACGTTAATACTAAACCACAATGAAAGTTTCTCCACGTATAAGAAACAGATAACTTTTATCCTAGACTGCAGTACTTTTAACTGCTCCATGGAAAAAGAGCAATGGCTTTTTTTTTTTTAACAAAGAGTTTGAGATTTTAATAATAACAACAAAAACAAAAATACATAAAAGACAATGTCCAATGGTAGGTGTGGACACTAGTAATATGAGAAAGACAGGACATAGATCGTACATCAATACAGCAGGTGAAATACACAGTTCGTAGAATCAGAACGTGGATACATTGCATTAAAGGAGAACTATGGGGTCAGGGCTTTTCCCCATAGTTCTCCTAAGGGTAACGGGAGGACACAAACTAGCTTCCTCCCGTCACCCTAAGCTCAGTATACCGCGAGCTACAGCTAGCAGTATACTGAGATGCTGCAGCTGAAATGGATCCCGACAATTATGTCTGGATCCGCCCAGCTGCGTGAGTGACAGCTGGCTCTGCCTATCCAGAGGCAGAGCCAGCTGTAGCCGCCCCCTCCCCGTCCGTTTTGCCAGTCAGCGCTGGAGGATTGGAGCGGGGAGTGGGGAATCCAGGCCCTCCCCCGTCACGGCTCTGTGCCGGGACAAGATCGAGAAGTGAGCGAACGCCGGTATGTGTTCGCTCACTTCCCAATCTACTGAGCCGACCTGTGACAGTTTCATTGTCACAGGTCGGCTAGAACTATGAGGATAAGTGAAAAGCACTCACCTCATAGTTCTCATTTAACAAACATCTGATATACCCAGAAAGGTAAAATTCTTACAGAGGGAGAGGCATGGGAAAATCAGATAGTTTTTATTGATTTTGCTTTGTTTGAAATAACAGAAAAAAGGGAAATGGCTTTTAATACAAATAAACCATGGCCATTAAAATGCCGTACCTACTAAAACGTTTGTATTTAGGGCCCTACCCGTTCCCTGTTCCTTCCCACAACTTGTGCATTCTGCAACGTGACATATACAAATTTATCTCAGACCAATCCAAATGGAGACTCAATAAAAACATTATGTACCATTCAAAGCAGTATGAAGTATAGGGAGTCCTGAAACTTTCCCACTATTATAAATGAGACAACATAGCACTTCTTGTTTTTCCATCCAGCCTAAAATACCCTTCTGGGTATCGCTCAACACAGTAGAATCCCATCCTTTCGCCATCGTCAACCTTTTTTGGCTCCCACCACATCGACGACTCGAGGCATTGAGCCCTACTTTTTTTATATATACTAAAATCTGGGATTAAATAAAATATTCTGATAAAATACTCGCTCCACATCTACCCCTACTGGACTTATTGCACTGTCCACTATTTCCCTCAGGTCAAGATCAGCTGAAACAATTCCAAACCTCCATTCAATCAGAGTGATATCAGTGACCACTAAGGTGCTTGGATTTAACAGCACAATGATAGTAGCAAAATAAGTGGTTATAACAAGAACACGGCTGCTGCTGCATTTTATCATTTTAAACCGCAGGCGATTGCTGATTTTGTGCAAGCAATTGAACGTCTGTGCAGGTGTCGGATCATTTGTACGGTGTGCGCTTTTCTGCTCCCCCTCCGCTGGCTTTCCCAGGAGGGCCCAGGACCGGCACGGCGGGTCTACCCTCACAGATCAGAGGTAGATCAGCAGGCATCTAGCCGCTGATCTCTCCTCCAATCACTGGACCCGCATGTGATGTGTATTACATCACTTCCGGTGTCACTGTGCACATTCTCTGCTTCATCAGCTTCTTTAAGGGGTCTCAAAAACCCCTGATGTCTCCATAAAGAGCGCCTGTCACATTCTATTTTGTATTACATAGGAGGCTTATTAGCCCCCTATGTGATAGCAATAAAAGTTAAGTGTAAACAAATACAAAATAAAATAACCCATGTGCTTGTCGCAATTTAAAAAAACAGTGCAGTTCTCTAACCCCAGAACATTACCTAATCAGCAGTGCTCAGTGGGGCATTTTGGACCACAGGAGAGCTGAGTGTGTGAAAGCCTCAGTATGACATTTTTCTAATCCTTTGCAGCAGCACTTAGCTGATACAAAAAAGCCACATTCATTACGGTATATTCAGCCTGACTGCATTACAGTAACAAATTTAAGAGGATGTAACTGGACTCAGACTAAAAGGAACAAAGTAAGAGAAGTTAATTGTGAAGGTACATTAACAATTGTTGAAGGAAAAAATAATCTTACCTTTGCCAGGCAAGATCTTCCTCTAAAAATATATTACGACTAAACTTTCTTCCTCCCACTGGTGTGCGAGGTTCTCCAGGATCCAATAAAGAAATAGAACAGGAGGAATCTGACAATGTATTCAGGTCTTCTCCAATGACATGGCTCTCCGTGGAGTGTGCATAGTTTACGGCAATCTTACAACAGTAGGTACAAGCCCGAAGATCACCTTCAGACACAGATATATTGTTATAAAACCAACCATTATACTCATAAAGGTAACAAATCCCAATACAAGTAATACCATTTGAAGGATAGGCAGGGTGTTCACTGTATATATAGATATGCCTTTTAATTATCTAAAAAACAGCTATATTTTAATTTGAGTAGAATTCAGACAGTTTTGGCAGGTTTGTTTTATAATTTCTAATACTCAAATTTATTAAAGCATTGTGAACAGTCATACGGGTGTTTAGTCTACATTGTTGGGACACTATTCACTTCTGCATTTGTGAGATTACCTATACAATATGCACGGCTAACGGAACTTAAAGGGGTCTATCTATAAAAGATTTGTATAGCTTATTCGTCCAGCCAAACTGCATGTGAGAGTTAACTAGGTGGTGTGTGAATGTGAGAATACAGCAAAAAGGAATGTTCTTGGTGTAATTTGTATACTGGTCCCCTATACTTCAATAGGTATTTTCATAAAGAAGAGAGTGGGTGGGGAAAATAGCAAAATTATGACCACTAGATATAAGGATCATAGGAAATAAATGCATGTTAGTAAGGAGACACAATTGTACAATCCAAGAGACTGATGGAATGAATGAGCATATAAATGTAACCATCAATGCCATGGGGATAGCAATGATTATATTTATATGCTCATTGCCCCCAGTGGTCCCTTAACTGGTTGCTGTCCAATCATTGTGAATAAACGAACGGACAGCAGACACACAAGGACAGGTGGTTGTTAAACCTTCCTGAACTCACTGATCACTGCTTCTTTGAGGGTCCCTAGGTGACATTAGGGATCTAATAGACATCTGATGTCTCCATAAAAGGGAACCTGTCCTGTACCTATGATATCACATAGAGGGCTCTCACCCGTGATGGACAGACTACAATCTCAGGTTTAGTTTACTAATTTGTATTGAGATTGTAATCCATCACAAGAGCGAGCTTGGAGAGGTGGCTACTTTATAACATATACAGGGACCATGGTGAACAAAAGCAGCCTCCCTCCAGAAGGACAGTGTCAGCATGAATTCAGAGATGATTTGAAGATCTACAGCTGAGTGATTCACAAATAAGAAACATTTTTGTTAATAGTTAAAAGGTACCTGAATGCATTTTTAACTGCTAAGTTTAGTGTCACTTTAATTCAGTATTTTTAATTACCTATTGAAGAACATTTGACCAAAAAAAAAACCCTAAGAACATTTGCTTTTGGTGCATTTTCACAACAGCTACTTAACTTGCACAAAAGGAATGTACCTGCAGTTTTGCTGGGTGAATAAGCTATTCAAATGTTTAATAAACAGACCGCAGTGTATGTCCAGCCAACTGATTACATTTGTTTTCCTTTCATGTCCACGTGGAAGATCTACTGCTATCCAGGCCTATGTTAGAGAGATTTTTCCCTCACTTCTTGTACTGGTTAAAGTTTTTTCATTACACAAAAGATGCAAAGGAAAATCTGCAACCTCTATAAAACGCAGACAAAGTTCTTATACAACATGTGGTTTAAACCTGCTTCACAAGTTAATTTTATTTATATATATATATATAGAAATCCAGTGAATCAATTTCAAGTGCAAATATCATTTACTGCAATCTGAAAGTCTGTCAGGTGTTACCTCAGTAATTCCTCATCAAGATCTAGATCTCTCTCTATTCAGTAATTGATAGATTCCATCACAATCATGCTTGTTTAGTGTATGGCAGTTTGATTGCACAAGGGCACTATCTACATAGAAGTTTATGTATTTTCACTGTGCCACAGGGGTTTTCTCCAGGTACTCCAGTTTCAGCCAACAATCTTAAGCAAACTAGGTAAAAATACTTCAGCCTTAATTGGTCTAGATCTGTTTTTTATATTTCCCACAACTGCTGTAGATTGGGGCATGTGTTCCCGGCATGATTTGGGCCCTTTAATTGGTGTGGAAAAACATCTGAATAGCACAACATACCAGAGTATCGTTGCTGATCAAGTTCATCCTATCATGTTCATGGCGTATCCCAATGGAGATGGCTTCTTCCAACAAGACAATGCACCATGCCAGGGTGCTCGTATTGTGCAGGAGTGGTTTCAAGAACATGAGGGAGACTTTACCTTGCTTAGGTGGCCCCCACAATCACCAGATCTTAATCCAATTGAGCATTTGTGGGACGAAGTTGAAAGAGCCATCAGGCAGCTGGTTCCACAAACATCAAATCTCACAGAACTGGAAAATGCTATTCATCAGGCATGGTGTCAGATTCCTCACATCACCTTTCAACATCTCGTGGAGTCAATGCCAAAAAGAATCGCCTCAGTATTGAAGGCAAAAGGTGGCCCAACAAAGTACTGATGGGATGGTCATAATAATCTGGCCACTCAGTGTAAGTAAGTTTCCATTGTATAAACCAATACAAGACACATTGTCAGAACGTTTGATATAAAATTTGTATGAAATTAAAGAGATCATGTCACAAAAGTAATCACAAACTCAAAAGAACCGTGTGGTGAAACATTACAACGAAAAAACCAAATAAAAGTGTGTACACTAACTTGGCAGAAGACAATGGCACACACGTGAGATATTTGCCATGTACTCCTAGGACTATTGTATCTTAGGTATAGGTCGCTGGGAAGTAAACAGTTTATTTACTAGGCCCGCAAGCCTTGACTAATGTCTTTGTCTAAATTGTAAATAAACACACTAGTTGAGCTTTGTTTAATTATATGACATGATTATTGGGACAAATGTCCTAAGAAGTGACCTGATAATCTTCGGAGAAACAAGGTCATTAGTTGAATGAAATGTTTTATATAATTATAAGACCTTCTGGGTATCAAAAGAATTCAAGGACTAAAGAGAAAAATACCAATAAACTTTTTAGATATTCTCTTCTATCATTAAAGGAGAAAAAAGGACTGTCTGTTAGAAACTGACAAGTATCCATACAAAATGTGTTATATCAAACGACCTAAAAAAGAAATATAGATGTATGCATTTAAAATCTAGAAAAATGTAATATATTAGTGACAAGTAATTGACTTCACAACTTATAGGAAGGTTGTTATTGTTTATTTTGTATTGTAAAAAATTGCAAGTTCTTTTTGCCTATGGGTTTAATGAATTATCATGAAATAATTAACTTACCACCACCAGAGATTCGATAATTTAAAAAAAAAAAAAAAAAGAAGGGCAATAATCTTTATAAATAAATTGTCACGTATAATTATCACTTAGGAATAGATTAAAAGGATATGCATATGCTTCTCAATAGATCTATGACCAATATCTGTAGGGGTATAAAACAATGAAACTGTCACAGGTCGGCTCAGTAGATCGGGAAGTGAGCGTACACATACCATCGCTCGGTCACTTCTCCATCTATCAATGCAGAGAGCCGTGACTGTCACTCACGGCTCCCTGCAGGGATTCCCCCCCCCTCCCCTGTCTGATCCTCCAGCGCTGACTGGTGGAACAGACGGGGGAGGGGGCAGGCAGAGCCAGCTGTCAATCCCGCAGCTCGTTGGATCTCGACAGCAATGTAGCATGTGGTATACTGAGCTTTGGGTCACGGAAGAACCTCAAGGGAGGTTTTGGGAGTTTTTAATTGTGTTTCAACGCTGAAACACAATTAAAAATGCCCAAAACCACACTGATTAGCGCGGTTCTATTGAAACCTGTATGGAAACCGAGCAGGGTGGAAAAAATAGTGCAAGAAGCAGTTCGGGCGGGGGGCGGTTCGGATCGCGCGGTCGCATGAAAGGTCCCCATAGCAATGTATGGCATTGTTCATGTCGGTGAAACCGCGTGGCCGAACCGCCCCGGTGTGAACAGGGCCTCAGATACATTGTTGTCATTCTAGTGACAGCTGGAGGCACTATTATTGATATTATCCCTAACATTTATTTTAGGGAAACCGATTGCTGAGATATTGACGATTCGTTTAAAATGACATTATCATAACAACATAAATAACTCTTGTATACAACAATTCAACAGGAATTATTTTTTAGATTAACCCCCATATAATAAATCATGCTTTTTCCAACCTGTATAACCCATGAATTTTCCTGGAATCTCCTGGTTGCAACAGCGGCTGCAGAATATCTGACCGCAAAGCCGACAGTGATGCCTCCGACGGAAAGTGGTAAACTTCTCGCTGCAATCATAACACTCTTTGCACTGGCTATCGGGCATCCAGTACTGCTTTAAGTCGCTGTCCTGGTAAAGATGAAAGCACAAAACATTAATGTTTATCGGCTTACGGAGTTACATTTACTTCATTAGTACCTAATCCTACACCCCGAAACAGAAAGGCTCCTTAAATGTATCCAACGAAAAGGATACTAATCTATCTAAAATAGGAAGTTACCTGGCTCTTTCCTTCCATAATTTCTTTTAAGCGTTTGACAACAGTGCTTAGACTGCGGAGCTGTACTGCAGTGCGAGGATCGTGACCCAGGGGTGGTTCTGCTTTTCTTCTGGTCTCTGAAAATAAAATTGTTGTCCACAATTCTTATACAGTTTAAACAAACATATCGTCATCGTGTGCCAAATAATATGCCTCATTAGTAAACTAAAAGTATCATTCACAACATTTAATAATTAACTGACCTATAACTAGAGCAGTGGACCCATGAGTACATACCAGTCAACAGAAAGCCGGCAGTGTCTGCCTCAAAAGCGAAGTGAAATCTACAAACAAGAATTCAAGTAAAAGCCCCCAAACTCCCAAGCCCCCCACCGCCCCTAAATACTTTTTAAATATACTTACTAGGTCTTCTTCCGGGGACGGAGTCCGGCACCGCCTACTCACCAATCAGGTCCCACGGCATCACTCCGCTCCTCCTCTCTAGCCAGTGTCACGGCTTACAGCTGGGAAGTTTGAAATACTCAGTGTTTAAGCAATGCAGCTAAAGCGGAGTATTTCCACTCCCACAAACTCGCCATCCTGGAAGTAAGCCCATTACATTTACCTCCCTGCTCGCTATCCCGGATGTAAAACTTGTATACTCAACTGACCATATGCCATCCTGGACTTACATACTTCCCTAACCACTCTCCATCCTTGGAGAATCTATGGAACACCTGGACAGCAGCTCGTCTCCCCGTGCACTCTGCGTGGACTCTCTGTTCAGTTAAATCACAGCACCTTCCCTTGTGCACTCTGCATTGACTCTCTGTTCAGTTAAGTCGCAGCACCTTCCCTTGTGCACTCTACATGGACTCTCTGTTCAGTTAAGTCGCAGCATCTTCCCTTGTGCACTCTGCATGGACACTCTGTTCAGTTAAGTCGCAGCATCTTCCCTTGTGCACTCCACGTGGACACTCTGTTCAGTTAAGTCGCAGCACCTTCCCTTGTGCACTCTGCATGGACTCTCTGTTCAGTTAAGTCGCAGCATCTTCCCTTGTGCACTCCACGTGGACACTCTGTTCAATTAAACCGTAGTGACTTCCATCGTGCACTTCGCATTGATGGATGCCGTTAAATTAAATGTAACAACTTCCATTGTGCACTCTGCATGGATTCTCTGTTCAATTAAATTGTAGCAACCTCCACTGTCCACTCTGCATGGACTCTCTGTTCAATTAAACCGCAGCACCTTCCCTCGTGCACTCTACGTGGTGATTAGGTAAATTGCAGCACCATCCTGCATTTACGCAGCGTGGACATGCTGACTCAGCTAAATGTGAATATATACATTAATTCTGATAAACCTGCAGACTGTTACTGTGCTATACATACCACAGAGGGTATTGCTTGGTGAACGGAGAGGTATCCCAAGGTCATTTTGCTAGACTAGCCTATTAATACTTGCACCATGTCTTCCCTGTATAACAAATCTGGCTTCTTATTGGTGCGCTGCTCTGGCGGGCTTTTACATTTTTAGGATTGGACTTATATGTACAAGCTGCAATCTTCTCTTGAACTACGTTATTTTGTATAGTGGATGTATGAAGGAATACAGTCTGCCAGCATATCCTATAGTTTAACTCCTTCTGAGTTTGGACTACAACTAGGAATCCTTGCTTCATATTACTACCATTAGGTCATACCTTTATCCCATTTTTGCAAGTAACCCATACAAGCAGGACAAACCGCAGATGGATACTTTACTGATCCATCACAGTTACACAATGAATTCCTAACACCAAAAGCAAACTTTAAGATGTGTACACCACAAAACAAATGTAACTCTATCCACAATCTCTTTTCTCCACATGAAGTATAGCATAGACAGAGTTTCCGGATGTAGTCAGCCTCGTGCCTATGGGGAGCTGCTCAGGCTGTAGTTTAACAGCTGTTTGAGGTATCAGTTATAAGGGCTGATTATAAATTCTGCCAACCATTATTGCTTTCAGGGGTTAAGGCTTTTCCCCATAGTTCTCCTTAGGGTAACGGGAGGACACAAACTAGCGTCCTCCAGTCACCCTAAGCTCAGTATACCGCGAGTTACTGCTCGCGGTATACCGAGACGCCGCAGCTGAAGCAGATCCCGACAATTATGTCTGGCCAGCCAGAGCCAGCTGTACCCGCCCCCTCTCCCGTCCGTTCCGCCAGTCAGCACTGGCAGATCGGAGCGGGGAATCCAGTCCCTCCCCTGTCACGGCAGAGAGCCGTGACAGGATCGAGAGGTGAGCGAACGTCGGTATGTGTTCGCTCACCTCCCGATCTACTGAGCCGACCTGTGACAGTCTCATTGTCACAGGTCGGCTAGAACTATGAGGGGAGTGAAAAGCACTCACCTCATAGTTCTCCTTAAAGGAAGCTACAGACAAAAAGACATGAACCTGAGAAGGATGGATCGGGAAATACCCCCCTTTCTGGGATTAACCTCATGTGCTGGGATAAACTTGTCCCAGGGTGAAATTGGCACAAACAGCATATTGGTCCTTTTGAGGTTCGGACCTGTTTACCGGGATTGTTTCAATGTCCCAAAATGATACCTCTGATAACAACTGGCTACTTGAGACAAGCCATTTATGGTCACCATAAAGACAAGGTAGACACCTTTTTGGTACAATTCTTGCCCAGTAGTGATGGTGGCAGACATGTAGTAGTTTACTCCTACATGGAAGAGTAAAGGATCAGTCCCACTCCCAGAAAGACTTTCCAAATACACTAAATACATCTCTGAATCCTGAATGTAATTATTAAAAATCTATGCTGCATCAATTACTGCAAGTTATGCTTTAAACTGAAACCTACAGATCTGCTACACAGAACCTTTAATCCATTTTTTAACCATAGATACAAAATCAGGGTAAACATTTTGAGTGTCAAAACTATTTTTGCACAATTTCAGGTCTTGCTGGATTAAACTAAACCGTGTGTCTAAATAATCTAGTTCATAATATGTACAGGATTATTTTTTAGCAGCCTAATCTTTTAATTAAAAAATCTGTTTAGTGTTTCATGAAAACGGTAGAAATGATGATCTACAAACCTGAGCTGGTTGAAGACCTCCTATCTCCAAGTAACTGCTTCTTGTACTGCACTGGAAACTTGACAGGCTGTGATATTGGTGAGTGATGAGGACTAGACCATGTGTTTCTAATTGCTGGGTCCCCAGGACCAGACTCCGTCCTTTCAGCAGGAGAGACCACTCTGACCTCATCTGAAATAATCCCATCATATAATTAATGCATAACTCCATATTTTTACTTAATAAACAGGACAGGAAGTGATGAAAAATACCTCTAACAGACACACAGTCAAAAACAATGTATTGCTGTCTGCACATTCCTATGCCTGACAACCACTCTTTTCCTCTTTTCTACAGGTGTTCCATGGACAAGAAAAGAGGGGAACTTTCTTAATGAATTTAAAGAAATACCTTACATTAATTTTCACTCTTACCCATTCTATCCAAAACTGGAAAAAAAGTTTGCCTAGAATTGAGCTTTAGAGTAAACCTACAGAAAGGTGAAATGCTAAAGCAAGATTCTGCCAAGCATTATTTGCATATAAATTGACCATGTAAGATAACTCAATGTAATAGCTGCAGCCCTAAAGGGCTTGCTTATCTACTAACGATTATTTTCATAATCGGTTAGCCGATGATTAAGTTCGATTAATTGGATTTTAACAAAAGGCTCCAGTGATGGACTACTAGTTTGTATTGAGATTGTAGTCCATCACGGGAGCAAGCTTGGAGCGGTGGAAGTAAAAAAAAGTGTGGTGTGCAATATAGTACATTATACAGCGTCGCAATGCAGAATACCGGCAGCTATAGAGGAATACAGCAAATCGCAGCAATAGTAATTATACTATAATGTACTATTGCTGGGATCTGATGTATTCCTCTATAGCTGGTGTTATTGGAGAGGACAAGTATGATGCAGGAATAGAGAGGACGGGTATGATGCAGGAATAGAGAGGACGGGTATGATGGTGGAATGGGGTGCAGAGGATTGTTATGATGATGGAATGGAGCGCAGGGATGGAGAGGATGGGTATGATGATGGAATGGAGTGCAGGGATGGAGAGGATGGGTATGATGGTGGAATGGAGTGCAGGGATGGAGAGGACGGGTATGATGATGGAATGGGGTGCAGAGGACGGGTATGATGATGCAATGGAGTGCAGGGATGGAGAGGACGGGTATGATGGTGGAATGGGGTGCAGAGGACGGGTATGATGGTGGAATGGGGTGCAGGGATGGAGAGGACGGGTATGATGGTGGAATGGGGTGCAGGGATGGAGAGGACGGGTATGATGGTGGAATGGGGTGCAGGGATGGAGAGGACGGGTATGATGGTGGAATGGGGTGCAGGGATGGAGAGGACGGGTATGATGGTGGAATGGGGTGCAGGGATGGAGAGGACGGGTATGATGGTGGAATGGGGTGCAGGGATGGAGAGGACGGGTATGATGGTGGAATGGGGTGCAGAGGACGGGTATGATGGTGGGATGGGGTGCAGAGGACGGGTATGATGGTGGAATGGGGTGCAGAGGACGGGTATGATGGTGGGATGGGGTGCAGGGATGGAGAGGACGGGTATGATGGTGGAATGGAGTGCAGGGATGGAGAGGACGGGTATGATGGTGGAATGGAGTGCAGGGATGGAGAGGACGGGTATGATGGTGGAATGGAGTGCAGGGATGGAGAGGACGGGTATGATGGTGGAATGGGGTGCAGGGATGGAGAGGACGGGTATGATGGTGGAATGGGGTGCAGGGATGGAGAGGACGGGTATGATGGTGGAATGGGGTGCAGAGGACGGGTATGATGGTGGATTGGGGTGCCCGGTGTCGGGTCCCAGGCTCCGGGCACGTAGTCTCTGAACATTCCCTCCATGCCTTATGCTGTACGGTTCAGCCTGGAAGCCAGCTCGTCCCCAGCCATAGTCTCCGTCCCACGGCTGACACCCGCCGCGCTCACATCCCCGGCACCCATCATGTGATGGCACCGGCCGGCTAGATGCGAGAAGCGCCGGGATTGGAGGAGAGCCGGGGGCTGGACCTCGGCGTGTGCGGTGGGCATGGCGTGCGCGGCATGCGGGGCTTGAGTGTGGAGCCGCCAACAGGCAATGTAATAGATAGCCGACTAATCGACGATGGAAAACGCTGACAATGTTTTCGATCGTCGATTTTAATCGACTACATCGAATCGTTGTTGCAGCTCTAAAGCCCTTACAGGAAACAAAATATTAACAATGGCCAAAAAAACAACAAGTTGGATGCTATCACAACTACTTTCAGCTAGGTTGCAATCCCCAAAACAAATGCATCAATGTCACCTACCATCAGCAGTTCCAACAGAAACTGTTGGTAGGTTGCCTTGATGTATTTAGATAATTCTGCGACTGAAAGAACATTTTGCTCCTACATGGATCAGTCAGGTCCCTTCAATTTCGAGGCAAGCAGTAACTAAATTTTACTGATATCACATATGATTACCTAAAACATGAATTATCCTGTTAGATTCTCCATGATAAGACATGTAATAAGTACTTAAAGGCTGTACATAGTTTGACATTCTCAGCTGTTCTGACCCATTTAAGTAGCAGTATATTGGAAAATGTCTGCACCTGATCATTTCCACATGAAAAGGGAACAAACATATTATCATGCGTGTTCAGTCGTATAGTGTACTGTATGATGAACTGTTATTACAGAGGAAATAAAACACAAATGCATGTATAGCTGAAGCAATACATATACAGTAGCAGGTTCACAATAAAGTTAATCTAATTCCAAAGCACATAAAACATATTATTTAATAAAGAAGAGAGTAGAGAGTCACATCAACCAGTCACATTTCATTTTACTGCTCAGCCAGCTTGAAGAGAGTTTCACGCAAAATGTGTTAAACCTGAACGCATTCCTCCTGCTGCTGACAAGTTGGAGTCCACATCACTCACACCTTCGCTGATCAGCTGACTGAAGAGAGCCAGAGAGTAACTAAGCAAGTGTGAAATGCAACAGTGCCACAGAATGCCAATTTCCAGGTATGCTGGTAGCCTAAAAACTGCTGACTGGCTCCTCTTAACCAGCTAATCAGAGGGGGCACAACCAAATGGTTCCTCACCAATAATACATAGATTGGATGTGTACAGGTTTTTCACCCTCTAACACAGGGGTGCCCACAATTTTTTGTGTTAGGATCTACTTTTCAAATGACGAGCTACATGAGATCTACCAACAAAAAGAAAACCTCCCTCACTCTCTCTCTCCTGGCTGTCTCTCCTCTCTCTCCTGGCTGTCTTTCCTTGCTCTCTCTTTCTCCTGGCTGTTTCTCCTTGCTCATCCTCCTGGCTGCCTCTCCTTGCTCATCCTCCTGGCTGTCTCTCCTTGCTCTCTCTCTCTCCTGGCTGTCATTCCTCGTTTTCTCTCTTGGCTGTCTCTCTTCGCTCTCTTGGCTGTCTCTCCTCGCTCTCTCCCCTGGCTGTCATTCCTCTCTCTCCAGTCTGTCTCTCTTCACTCTCTTGGCTGTCTCTCCTCGCTCTCTCCCGTCTGTCTCTCGCGGCTCTCTCTCCTGGCTCACCTTGCTGTATTTTGCAAACAGTGCAGTGCAACAGGCTGTGTAAACGAATATTCTTTGATGTAATACATAGCACTTCAACCACCAGTATCCACCAGAAAGGTGTCAGGGAGCTTGGCTCAGCAGACTCAGGCTAATAGGTAACCATGTGTGCACAGCTCAATAAATATACCAAAATGGAATAAAGGGGCCGCCATTCACACCCTTCGTGATCTACCAGCATCAGCTTTGGGAGCTACTGATAGATCACGAGCTACCTAATGGGCACCCCTGCTCTAACAGTTGTATCACACTGCTCCTAGCTATACTTTATATAGTAAGTGCTGCACACATAAACGTCTAACACCTGAGAAGAGAGCTGCAAGAATAAAGCTGCCCATACACCTATAGATTATATGCAGATTTTCTATGGTCAGATGGAAAAAGTGCAACTCCATCCATGTTGAACTGTGTGGATGGAGGAATCTCCCACTGGGCCAAGCTTCAGTATCTTCTAGTCGGCCCCGCTGGTTCTCAAAATGCCTGAGCAATGCCTGCATCCAATCAGATTGTTCAGGTATTTTGACAGTCAGTGGGGCCGTCTAGCAAAGTACTGAAGCTTGGCCCAGTGGGAGATTCCTCCATCCACACAGTTTAGCGTAGATGGAGGAATCTGTCACACTTTTTCCATCTGACCATAGAAAATTTGCAGATAATCTATAGGTGTATGGCAAGCTTAACAAGACAAAGAGAAAACTAGCGGTGGAGGTTAAATAGCAGTCTGTAGGACAGACACCTAGGAAGTAAAACTATGTTTTGCAGGAAGTTGAACTCTCCCCGTCCATTGAACATGGTTTACAGAAGTTACCCTTTAACTGATGTTATCCTGTTAATAATGTAGACATAACTATCAACTTGATATTGAGATACAGAAGTCCATGTTAGATACACATCATACTTTACCTTTGCTGAACCGGAACAAATTTACAAAAGAACTATAGGCAGATTTGAAGGGTGGCTCATCTTGATCTGGAGTCAAAGGTTTAAAATGAGTAAGATGGGATGGACTACTTGGAGACCTGGGCAGCTCGCTGGCAGATTCCAGTATGGGTGAAGACTTGTCGTCTGTGGCCATCTCATGAGACCTAAAATTTAAAAAAAACAAACATATTTATCTGAACTTTACAGTTAAACCCATAATAAAATGTTCTCTGTGGAAGCTATGGTGTCCATGTCGTGCACTGGGGAGGTCTAACAAGCCTGAAACAACTCCAGGGGGTTCCCTGCCGGAGTAAAATTGTTGAATACAAGATGTTCAGAAATGTCTGGTCATCTAGTTGTCGATTAAGGCTTTTTTATGGTTCCAAAAGTTAATTGTCAAATCCGGGGGTTAGAAATGTGTCTATGCAAGGTTGCTAAACTCTGGTGTATTTAGATTATCCGGCAAGTATGGTGGACTCGATTTTTTTCATGGATCATGGCTTATGTGACTGTTTTTAGTTTTGGTGAGGTTGAGTCTGGGGGGTTCTCTAGGCCTTGACTATTGTCTGTTAGGCTCCAACTACAAATCCTCACGAAGCCAAAATTGGGAGCAACGTTTAAGACATAGACAGTGATAATTTGATGAAGGAAAAAGGGAAAGAGGGACAAAGTATATATACAGAAAACATTCTGCATTTGTGACAAATGATATATGCAGAAAGCCTTAAAGAGGCTGACTTTACAGTGGTGATGATCCTGTATCCTTGTGACTACACTTTACAAACACTTATACTGGAGTGATAAAACATAAAATACCTTATGCTACTAGACTGGTAATTACTTAGCCACAGCTTGCAGTTTACAACACCTTCCTACATGATGACATTTATGGATATTTACCAGAAATATGGTTATATTTGAATGTATGAAGTAAATGTACCTGTTAAATAAGGGGATGACATTTCCTTCTGAAAACTTAATGATGAACCACAGGAAAATATATCATAGACATTTTTAAAGTGGAACTAAACTTTCTATGACCGAAATTGCTAACAGGCAGGATTTTTTTTTATGATAGAAGAGACTGTGTATTTTTTTTATAGATCCTTCTACCTGCCCATCAGCCAATTGTTTCTGTAATTGTATACGGAGCCGGGCACTGCAGCTTACTGTATAGTCTCTGCACGATTTTGCCTGGACCAAGTAACTCCTGTGGACATGCGCGAGACACATATCATCCCAATCAAGATGGCTGAAGACTAAGAAGAAACAATGGGTAGAGATGGAAGAACTGTTGTTGACAGAGGTGAGCATGCACATGGCATTGTGGGTTGCACTGCAAAGTAAAAGTGCCATTACAGCAAAAATGGTCCAGGGTTCAAAATGTTTACTGTGGTTTTGGTGCTTCAATTCCAGAGTTACATATTCATAAAAAATGACTTACACATTTTGTAAACAATACTAGTCTAAGCACCAGAAATTTGTCTTTATACAGTCTTCCCACAATTGCCACACCAAGACTGAGAACATTGTAAGGTGCCACTGATCTAAAACTGCTCACAGAAGAAGGCACAGGGATGTTCCATCCTGCTGTACATTCTTTGAGATTCTGCAATTACAATTTGTGGATGGAGTTCCACTTTAATTTAAGATGTGAGAGGTGCAGGTTTATGGGCATGTTTACTCTAGTGCCTTGTGGCTATTCACATGTGTTAGTATGCTCTATCTTGTCTGCAGTGCAATGTTTATTTAACAGACATGCACAATTCTATATACCACAACAAAAGATGGATCACTTCTGTGTGTTGCAGTGTGCTAAAACACATCTGCATTGTTTTGTGCTGCCTGCGTTTCATTATCTTGACACAAGAATTCACACACACACACACACACACACACACACACACTTAGAAATAGACTCGGGCTACCCAGAATCCTATTTAGCAGCAATAGCAAGGAGCAACACCTCTGAAAATTCTTCTACTCCAAGCTGGAATAAAGTGCATCTGTGTCCATACAGTGGATTTTTTGAAGGCAGCCACTCTACTGACTAACAGAACAACAACAACAACAACAACAACAACTTGAACAGAGATTTACATAACCACATACAGATGTGTTTCCTATGTGGACAACATCAGTTCCTGTTTGGACAAAATCAGTTCCTGTTCAACACATCCAGAGCGCATTTACTGCGCTTACTTACTTGGCAATAGAACACATATCTGTGATAAAGCAGTAGGCAAGCATCACACATTCCTTACTCCAGGGCTGGACAAATCCCCGGAGCCAGGTCACCAATGTTCCTTACAAACTAGAGCTGGCGCCTAACTTTTGAGGTATTCTATATAGGGCTGCAACCAACTAATTGATTAATTGATAATAATCAATGAGAATAGTTGGCAACTATTCTCATTATCAATTAGTTGGTTGGATCCCCTAGCTCTCTCCTCCATGCTGGGAGGAGTGCACAGCAAGCAGTGGGCAGGTGCATTAGCCAGCCTGCTATTGACTATTGCAATTTGAAAAGACCAACAGAAGGCTGGCAATTGCACCAGCCCACTACCTGTTGTATTTACATTCAGCTGTCATTCCCTGGCTGAAGTTATTAAAGCGCCAAGTGCTTACAATACAATTATTTTTTTTTTAAACATTTATAAAAAGGTGGGAAAAAAAGTAATTTTCGGTTTCATAGTATTTGAGGTTGAATAAAGACATTAGTCCATCAAGTCCAACCTATTAGGATCTCATTCTAGGAGTACCTGTACCCCTGTATATTACGGTCCCTTAAGAAATCGTCCAAAAGTTTCTTGAACAATTCCACATTCTTTGCTGAAATCACTGTCTGTGGCAGTGAGTTCCAGACCCTAACTGATCTTACTGTGAAGAACCCCCTTCGCCCCTTGTGCTGGAATTTTTTTTCCACCAATTTTAGGTGATGGCCTCTAGTTTTTGTAATGGAGTTAATTTTAAACAGTTTATCGCTAATGTTGCT